GGGTGTCAGGAAGCGAAAATGGGGGAAATGGGTGTCTGAAATTCGCGAACCGGGTAAGAAAACTCGAATCTGGCTTGGGAGTTTTGAGACACCAGAAATGGCAGCTGTGGCATATGATGTGGCTGCATTGCACCTTAGGGGTCAATCTGCACACCTTAATTTTCCACAATTGGCACCTAGTCTTCCCCGTCCAACTGGCACAACTCCTGAAGATATAAGATTGGCAGCCCAACAGGCGGCTTCAGCCTTTGCCGGGAGATCATGGGATGGCTCCAGGATGGGGAGTACTTCTGCTGCGGCCGATCAAGGGCCGGTGACAGTAGGACTGTCGCCAACACAAATTCAGGCCATAAAAGAGTCACCTTTGGACTCACCAAAAATGGGGAATGCACTACTAATGTTGGAAGAATCTATATTTATCACTAACGAATATGAGATGAGCGATTGTGAAGAGGAAACCGATGACCCGCTTTGGGGGCCCTAGCTAGCTAGGGGAACTTAATTTAATATATTAACCCGTGAAACAAAACATGAAAATCTTAATCAAACAATTAATTATATTTACAACTTATTACATATTAGTGGAGAAAATTCAAATGCCATATAGGGCCTATGCCTGCTTAGTGACTTAAAATGTGCAACTCTCCAAGTTATTATAGGGTGTTGCAACTTGAATAATTATTGTTTTTGTAATTTTTTTTAAATTTATGGATTATTATGTTTGACTTTCCCAGGAAAGAGGTAGAATATGATTGGTTGTCTAGCTACTTATATGTTGCTATATGTTTCATTGATGATATCATGTAATTTAAATTTCCACATAAAGGTGTGCTTTATTTATGATATTTATTATCAACTTTTCAATCTTTTATTTTTCGGCAGTTTGTTTTCTTTCTATATTTTTTATTACGATTGCTAATGGAATTATTGATTTAAAAGGAAATTATCAACTTTTTTACCTTACAATTATGTGTCAAAGAGGTGGTTCGATTCGATTCAATTCAATAAAATGTTATATAACGTGATTTTTGGCTATAATCTTCTAAGTCAAAATATATAACTACATGATCCATCACCATCCGAAAATAACTTTCCTTGCACTTGTCCTATCGTGAGAGTTCTGTAATAAACTAAAGAAGTACAGCACTCTGATTTATTTGAAAATCATAAAACCAAGCAAAGCACAGTTAGCACAATCTTCTAACTTAAATGCCTGCTTGGCCTGGGCATAACTAGACAGTAGACCAAGTGATTTGTTGGAGCAACCTACTCAACAGACCTTTTCTAAAAACACCCCCACCGATTTATAGAGCACACCTCGAACACAGAAGCAGAGAAGAAATATAAAGACTCAGTTACTAAGTAGTTTCTCTCAGCATCAGATATTTTCTACATGGTTTTAAATCGGATTCCACAGCATGGATCATCTGTAGGGGGAGTATTCAAAATAGCCTG